TGCGTGCTGGCGAGGAGACGCCACGGCGCCAGTGTGAGCTGCGCAGCGAGCAGCGCCAGCAGCAAGGCGGTAAATCAGCAGGGGATTAACTTGTCTCGTACAGCAGCACTACTTCTTGTCTCGTTTTGAAATGTATCCCCTTGGCGCGCGGCTCGCGGCCGATCGGCCTGCCCGTCGCCGCTGCTGGAGCGTTGCGCCTCGGTTGCATCACGCATCGTCACCACCGCAGAGCGTCCAGCGCGTCCAGCGAGCCCCACGAACAACAAAAGTTAACTGTTCCGTGACGTTCCGGGTTTGTTGCTGTTCTAAGAAGCGGTTTGACCAAATTGTTTCCCATGTGAGCTCTCCTTTTTTATTGGCGGTGGCGGCGTGGAGCGCCGGGCCGGCGCAGAGCGCTCGGCCGTGTAGGAAAGAGCTGAAAGAGCCGACCATTCTGCGGGATCACCACATCAAAACTGCAATGCATTTTGAGCGAGTTCTGCGCGGCGGGTCGGCGTATTAAGCGACTTGTTCGAAAATAAGTCTGGGATAAAGACGGCGGAGGCTGGGAGGGTCGTAAAGCTTGAAGGAAAGTAGCTGCGCGAGTCGAACGGCCCGCCGCCGCGCGCTGTTTAAACCGCGCTGTTAAAGCTAAAGCGCGGGCACGCAGCGCAGCGCGCCGGGCCCGTCGCCCACGCCGCTGCGCTCGGGTGCGCGAGCGGCTGCCTACCGCCGCGGCGGGTGGGCCGCGCGGCCGACCCGCTTGCTGGACCGCCTTGGCGCGAGCTGCTGCAGGCGGCGATGCTTCACGGCGCCCAAGATCCTCGCACCACCCTTTGCTGGCGGTCACTCTGACTCCTTTCCTCTTCACCCCCACCGCGTGTTAAAGAGTCGCTCTTTTGAATTTGCGAGGTTCGCAACACCGGAGCGCAGCGAACAGACACGCTAGTTTAGTTTTGTTTTGTTCAATGCGATATGGGAAAACGTACAGGAGTGCCTTTGAGCCTCGCTTTGAGTGCAGCCTTAATGTATGTCAACCAGAGATGCCTATTAATTTAAGTATGATGATTTTCCACGCAAGTAGGATGACGCCACATAAATTTTAAAACTCGGAGATGGACAAGTACTAAGATAAGATCAGGTCGCGCCACTTTCACGCGTACACTCTCCCATATCGCAGCTCAGGCTTAAGTGAATTACACAGTGCGACGCGCAAAACAGTTCGGTCGGCTAGTCATCCTCAAGGCGGCGGGCTCCTCCAAGCCCTAGATAACACAAACCTGCACCTGGCGCGGTGGGCGGCGCCCGCCCCTCTCGGGCGAGGCGTAAGGATCACTCCCCGCTAATCTTTCCACAGAAATACCTCTCCCTCTAGCAGTTTTGCTTTGCGACCGCCACCGAGACAGCGGGATGAGTTAAGGAGTTAGGGACGCTCTATTTCATCTCGGACGACGCGCGGCAGAGCGCCGGGACGCCTCGCTGTCTGCGGCGTCGCCGCGAAGGGCAATGCGTCAAGGGCCAGGGCCAGAGGCGCGCGGCCATCGGAGCGAGCGCCAAGAATGTGACAGGAGTACCGTCGGGGGAGAGGCTTCCTCCGCACCTCACAATAGCCTGACGCTATACCTACAGACAAGATCTCTCGGAGAATTTTGAATTTGGAAATCTACGGGAATATGATTGAGAAATTACCATATTTTGCCCCGATAATGTAGGGGAGGAAGCTACATGGAGCTAACAAAAACAAACAGGATTTTACTCCAAACGGTAGAGGCGGTGAGAGGTTGTGCAACACTTTAGACTGTTCAACTAAAGACAGCCGCGCTGGTTGGCCTGCCTACCTGCTGGGCGCTCTCGAGCCCACACTCACCTTGGCTACGGGCGCGGTGGCCGGGGCCTGGACCGCGCTCGCTGTGGGGTTCAGCACCGTCTTGTCCCCCGTGATGAGCTTGAGCGGTGGCCTGTTGGCCCGGCGTATGGACCCGGCCGAGGCGGGTCCGGATGGCGCCTTGGCGGTCGCGGGGGACTTGGTCGCCGGGGTCCCGGAGCCGCCGCCGCCGGGGGACGAGCCAGCGCCCGCGCCGCCTGGGGTGGACGGTGCGGATGAAGAGGCGTTGGTGGTTTTGGTCCGCCAGGACGGCTCCTTCGCCTGGTCCTCCCCCAGGCCGGGAGTCGGGGTGGAAGGGGGTGTCGCCTTGGCGATGCTCGACACCTGCCCACGACGCATCCTTTGAAACAAAAAAGAATAAATTGTTAGCTATTTATACGTAGGCGAGGCAACAGTAATAATTTAAAGTAAAAATGAATTTCAGCTAAATATTTTCCTAAACGTCAGAGCGGTCGATTCGGCCTGTGTACTAATATCGCGATCAGGAAAAACTACTTCACAAATTTAAGTTTTGGCACTCGGCGCCCGGTCACTTTTTCATGAGGTCCGAATGGTTTGCTCGTTGCCTATCTGGCGCGGAGAGCGGTAAAACGCTATCTCCTGGTCGTCGGTTAACGCGCAGGGGCCTGGTCGCCTGTTTCCCTGGCAGAATCCCCGAATCGCTGAATGGCGCCAACCTGGTGCGGGGGTTGGGACCCTGACGTGGCGGACGGGGCCCTAGCTGCCATGCACATAGCCACCGTTCCGGTCCTGGTCCTGGTTGACGGCTGCGCCCTCCGCTGCCAAGTTCACGTCAAGGCGCTGCGGGGCGTGGCGTGGCGCGGGGCTGCCTGTGCCAGCAGCGAGGCGGTGTCGTCTCCATGAACCGGTGCGCCAGGGCGCGGGGAAGGTCGCAACCCCTCCGCCCCGCGCCCCCGCCTCGACGCGGCCTCGGCGGCTCGGCCAGGTGTCACGGCGGTTTATTAAGGGGTGAGTACCCATCGCCAATGTTCAGGTAATTTTGGCACGCCGTAGGCATGTCCGGGGGTGGCAGGTGGCGAGCGGAGGGGGTTCGTGCGTCGCGAGATCACTCGCGGGGGACGGGGATGGCGGCTGTAGGGGGAGAGGGGGAGGGGAGGGCAGCCGAGAGGCGACGTGCCATTTTGACTTATTTGACAGACGCGCTGAGAGACGCCGCGACAGAAACAACAACAGCGGTGTCCGCGTCGTGTTGATGTTGTTACTTTTAAACCTTGGCGCCAGATACTTGAGACGCCGGGGTTGGCGATTGGAATTCACCGCGACTTGAACAAAGTTTCGTCGTCGTCGGGTTAGTTTAAGACTCTGGCGACGCCGTGGCGACCGGTATGCACAGTAACCGGTCAGCCGCGGGCACGCCCTACATGGAGCGCGCCATGGAGCAGCGCCGGCCGCGACCAGCCGGACGGGGGAGTGAAAGGCCATTCGGACTGTGGCTGCATCTCTCTGTCTGCGACTGCAGCCGAGTGCGACATGAGTGCGAGCGGGACAGATGCAGCCCCACAGCGCGTGCTCGGCAGCGCTGCTGCAGCAGCTTTGTCGTTTTACTGCAGCCGCACGTGCGTTTGGCCCGGGATGAATGGGGAGCAGAGAGAGAGAGGGGAGAGAGAGAGAAAGAGGGAGAGAGAGAGTGAAAGAGTGAGAGAGCACAGCGCCGGCAGGGGATGGGAAAGTTCAAAAACCCAGCTGAACAAAAAGCTGGAGCAGCCGTCAAAAAATCGAGGACCAACTACCACGCCCGGACAAAAAGAAAGATATCGTGACAAATATTTTTCTCGGTGCGGTATTGTGACAGAGACTACGGGTTTGCTAGCTGGGTGACTCGTATAAAACGCATTTTATAGTGCTCGCTGAGCTGACCATGAGATGGTTGCCGCACCTTATCATCTTTCTGGGTGACTAACGCTCAAACAGTGAAGAGCGAGATTCGTAAAGATAGTGACTGAGCACCACATTTATTTTTGATAAACGGGTAAGACTCACTTGGCTGTTTTTAAAATTCGCTGCTGGGGTGATGTATTATCGACGACTTTGGCCACAAACTTATCAGGGCATGGCACACTGCACGACACGCGACGACACACGCACACCCACACCCCACACGCACAAGACAGGCGACGCGATTCGGAAGACGCGTTCCCGCGCAGAGAGCCTAGGCCGCCGTGGTGCCCGGCCGCCGCCGTTCGCCACCCGCCGCCGCGCGCACCGACGTCCACTAGGCCACTATTCTCGCTCGCCTAGGCCGGCCCCGCCCGATCTGCGCGCCCCAGCAACGCCGTGACGCCGCGCCGCACCACGCCAGGCCACCGTGTGGCCCACTGTGGCCACTGTCACGCTGCCAGGACTCGCGGCGGTGGCGGGCAACAGGCTGCCAGCAGCGGCGGCGGCGGCAGGACGCCCGCGCACTGCCCCCGCCTCGCCCCGCCTCGCCCCGCCCGTCCGCACCAGCAGCGCGAGGGAGTATGGTGATGCTGGTGGTCACAATGCCTGGTGGGCGGGGCGGCCGGCCGGACCGAGGTTCGACTCTCGTCGTCGCGGATGAGTCGGCTCCGGGAGGTGCGGGGCCAGGGCAGCGGGGTGGGTGGGAGGCTGGGCGGCGCTGGGCTTCGCGCCTCGCGGCTGATGCCAGTCAAGTCGCATTACGGCGCATGGCGGGGCTGCGCGGCGCGCAAGTGTCTAGCTCACCTGTCCTATCGGTGCAATCGGCCACAATGGCCGTGATAAGGCCGGGGCTGGCTGCGGCCCGCTAGGTTGGCGCCCCTCTGGCCCCCGCCC